TAATGTCTCATGAAAATGTTAAGTGTCAGCTTATTACTTACAGGTCTTCAAACACATAAGTTCTCCCGGAGTCTTGGGAAGACATCAGGCTGGCTTCCCAAAGAATGTTCTGTGGCCCACGTTGCCTTTGGTGCATAGCGTGTGTGTGTGTGTGTGTGTGCATGCGTGTGCACAGCATCGAGGGGAGGAGAGATGAAGGAGGTACTGAAGGTGCACAGAGAGGGTGCTAATTTACCGCTTTCCAAGCAAGAGTTGAAGGTAAAGGGCTTTGTACCCTGGAACCGGGTCGAGGAGCTGGGAGGGGCATCCTGGCACCAGGCAGGCACGTGGTCGCTGGTACCCCCAGCCCAGCCTTCCAATCCTGGGTTTTCCAGGCCGCGCCGTGGTTCCTCCTCTGTACAGCAGGGGGGCCTCTATCAGGAGTTTGAGACAATGTTTGTGAAGCCTTGAGCCCCAGGGGACCCGGAAGGGGAGCTGAGTCTACAGCTGTTGATCTTACTGGTCTGTCCTCAGCCCAGAATTTAGTTTCCTTGGAGATTCTCATTGTTGAGCAGAATGGAGACACTGGTCTCTCTGGAGGTTCAGAAAATGTCTTGGAGTTCTGGCAAAGGTACCCCATCCTCCCTGCGGGGACCAGGACTGCCAGGCTGCCGGGTGGGGATGAGACATAGGGGTGAAGGGTGAGGGGGCAGGGGCTCCCCGGCCTCATCAGCCCTCTGTGGTGACAGCCAGCACAGGGACCAGCCAGTGACCTGGATCCGAGGGCTTCCTGCTGAGAGAGAGGAGCATGGCTCCCTGGAAGAATCCCCTTAACAAATACAGGGCAGAGGGGTGCAGAGGTGGGGCCAGGCACCTAGGACTGGTGGAGTGAGGCACGGGGAGGGGACCTGCGGGGATCTGCTGTGCGTCACCCTGAGTCAGAAGAATATCCATCTCTGGGTTCTGCTTCCGACGTGTGAACAGGCCCCAATCCAGTGGCATCTCACACCTCCCCCCCATCCTGGCAGTGCTCAGACGCCCCCGGGTACTCGCGGCACACCCCTGAACCACGTGCAGCCGAAGCACCTGGAATGCTGGAAAAGCGGGCTCCTGGCCCTCTTCCCCTCTCCCCAGTCTGCCCTGCGGACCCGGAGTGTGGGCTCTCACCCCAGGGGGCTTGAGTGGGGAGCTGTGTCAGGGCATCAGGGGCAGGAAGCATAAACGTTTCCCCCTGAATAAAGCCTGCTGGCAGAGGTTTTCCTGGTTCGTATCCCAGGCAGTAAATACACGGAGAGTCACTTTGGTGCTTGATGGAAGGTCAGGGACGGGGGCCAGCAAGCTCTGCTTCCTGGAGGTCGAAGAAGAGGCCGTGCCCAGTGCTTCTGCAAACGCTGGGCTCTACCTCGCTGCACACAGGGCTCTGGGAGCAGGGCAGGGACTCGGGGCCTGGTTGTGTTGTTACAACCGGCCCTGCCTGACCACCCCCTGCGTCCCCAGGGGCTTCCTCACTGGGTGTGTATTAGTTTCCCAGAGCTGTCGGAACAAGCTACCACTAACTGAGTGGCTTCAGCAATAGAAGCGTATTGTCTCAGTTCCAGAGGCTCGAAGTCCAAGATCAAGGTGATGGCAAGGTCGGCTCCTCCTGAGGCCAGGGACGAGGGAGAATTTGTTCCAGGGCCTTCCCCTGGCTTCTGGGATCTGCTGTCAGCTCCTTGGCTTGTAGGAGCATAGCCCAGTCTCTCTGCCTTACATCTCCGCATGGCCATCTCTCTGTGCCTCTGTGGCCAAATTACCCCTTTTATAGGGACACCGGTCATGTTGGATTAGGGGCCCACCCAACTCCGGGCTGACCCCATCCTTACTGATTACGTTTGCAACAGCCCCACTTCCAAATAAGGTCACATTCTGAGGTCCTGGGGGTTAGGACTTCAACATAGGAATTTCGGGGAGACAGTTCAACCCACGGCAGGTGATATAACAAAGTGTACCACATTATGTATACCTAAGCCCAATAATCCCTAAACTTGGGGCTCGTGGGTCAGAGCCATCCAGGGCAGGAGGAGGGAGTTCAGTCATCCACCAAGCGCTTTTCCGTTTCCCTAAAGAGAGACGAGGCCCAGAATGGCAGGAACGTGTAGCATGCAGAGACCTTGCCCACACGGAGACGAAGACGTATCCGAACAATAATGCCCCTTTCCTGGAGGGGAGGGCGCTCGGAGGGGCTGAGCGGAGCTAGACCTGGCGTAAGATGGGCTGGAGGATTCCCTCTGCACTAGGTCATCTGGAGGGGGCCACATGGTATCCCTGCTCAGATCTAGAATGAGAAAGAAGCAGTGTGGCAATGTGGAAATCCCGGGCCCCTCGAACAAATGGGGACCTGGAACTGGGAGAGCTAGGTGGACGCAAAGCCAGTCACAGCAGGTGCACAGTGTGGGGCAGGGCTCCACGTGCTCAGAGGTGCAGGAAGTGGGTCTGCCCGCCACCACCTCCGAGCACAGAAGGGGGTGGCTCGGCGGCAGCCCGGCCCTGCCCCTCCACCAGAGCAGCATCTAGGCTGTGCAGATCCAGAGCATCTCTTTGCCTAGAGGCCCTGATGAAGGCCACACACTAGCTTTTCAGAGCAGGAGTCACTGTGTGGACCATGGCCAGGGGCAAGTGACAAAGTCCCGGGCAGCACGGAACCTGTGGAGAAGGGATTCTGGGTCTGGGGGAGATGTAGAACTCCTCTTGTTCCGTCTGCGGTGCAGGATCTGAGCCCCAGCACTTGGGCTGCTGTTGGTGGAACCAGGTTTCCGTGTAGGAGCCTCTGGCTCCCTGAGCCTGGGTTTCTTGGTCTGTGAAATGGGAATAATTCCCGCTCTACAGGATCATTGTAAGAGGAGAGACTGTGCACATCAAGTACTTTGCCCAAAGGAGACACGCAACTAACTGGGAATTATTATTACTGAACCTGGCAGAGAATTGAGACTTTACATAAAATCTCTGAGAAGCAAACAAAATAAGTTTTCTCTTAATTATCTAGCAGTGAAATTTTACATCGTCTCAAATCATTTTATTCTGTGAAATCTACAGAACCTGCAAATAATCATGTTGATCTTGCCAGATGGCTTAATGATTTTTGGCTCTTTTAATAAGTCCTCTCGGGAGAGCCAAGAACACTAAGACTGAATTTAGCGACATACAGGAGAGCAGACATTTTGGAAAAGCCATTTGCCATCACATAGCAGCAATGTGTTGGCATTCAGCTATTTCATTGTTATTATTAGGTGTGAATTCTAAATTCAGGGTTTTTGTCCCCTTAAAGTCATCACTTCCCAAAATAGGTTTCTTAAAAGTGCAGCTTTCCCAAATGCTAACAGCTCCATTTCCCCATTCAGGCTAACGAGGCCATGAGCAGAAACGAGGCCACGTTCTCCCACGAGGTCAGAGAGCAAGGGTAGCCAGTGGTTCTGGAAACAGAAAGCCACACAGGGGGGCTTCAGAATGGGTTCATTAAGGGTCTGTTCCAAAAAGGGGTATTGCGGGACCTCTGGGTGGCTCAGTCGGTTAAGTGTCTGCCTTTGGCTCAGGTCATGATCCCGGGGTCCTGGGATCGAGCCCCGCTCAGCGGAGAGCCTGCTTCTCCCTCTGCCTGCCGCTCCCCCTGCTTGTGCTCTCTCTCTCTCTCTCTCTGTCTGGCAAATAAGTAAAATCTTTTTTAAAAGGGGAGGGCATGGCAATGGAGGCTTGAACCCTACCAGCTTTCTCTTCCTTCCCTGCATGAGCTTGTCCTCACAGCCTCAGCCCAAAGAAAGCCAAGGAAAGCCCTCCGGTTGGCGGCACAGAGTGACGGCCCGAGCTCAGTCTGTTTTGCGGCCTCCCCTGGGCGGCCCAGCGCACTGAGAACCGCCGCTGCCTGCCATCATGCAGAGAGCACGGGCCCGGGGGGAAGACAGGTGCCGGACCCCAGTTAGAGCACAGGAGGCGGGCCTTCCTCTCTCACTCCCTGCTGTGTGACGCTGGGTGACCCCTTCTCCTCTCTGGGCCTCAGTTTCCTCATCTGGCAGTGGGCAGGGAGAGGGTAACTTGGGACTTCCAAGCTGTGGCCTTTTTGACCTTACATCCATGCTGGATAAGGTCCAAATATGGCCACCGGAACTGGACACACTTGAGAAAGAGTAAGTGGCTTGATTTGGGGGGAATTCCATTTACACCGAGGAAGGCTTTCACTTCCTCACAGCCTGGCGTTACCACCACTGAGTGGAGTTTTTCAGTGGACACGGGGGGACTTTCAGAAAAATGCCCCTTTGAGACATGGGCTGTATCTCCCACGTATCATGAGGTCACTTGAGGGTCCCCTGACTGCTGCCGTGGCCAAGGGCCACCAGAATCAGAATCCCGGGAAGAGGCCTTTGTCACCTACGGATTCTTCCTGATGCAGGATATACTTTGAGCTTTGCAGAATGGTTGCAAAATTATTCTCAGCCCTCCCTCCCAGGCAACCTTCTTAAAAGGGTGGAGCTGGATTTGAAGCAAAAGAATCAGTCTCTTCTAGTTGTAGAGATAATCTTATTCAACCGCCTCCTTTTTCATATAAAACCAACAGGCCCAAGGAAGGGAAATGACTTGCCCAGGGTCACATAGCAGGACGGGAGCAGAGTTGGAGCCAGCGGCCAGGACACAATTAGCCACTAGCCTGTTTCTTAGGTAAGCCTGGGTTCCAGAGTCAGACAGACCTGGGTTCAAATCCTGCCTTTGTAACAGTTTGCTGACCATGTGACCTTAGGCGAATTACTCAACCTCCTTGGACATCTATGGCCTCACACACAAAATGGAGGCAGTCCCATCTCCTGGGGTTCCCCGAGGTCACACGTGGAAAGTGCATGGTTACTGCAGGAGCTGAAATGAATAAAGGGCCTGGTGGATGTCCACCGTCCATCCCTGTTACTGCTGTAAGTTGTAGTCCAGGAGGCAGTCCCAGAGAAGCTGAGGCTTGGCCAGGAGGCTGTGCTCTCGGTAACGGGCTCCCCGTGTCTCCGCAGGCTGGTGGAGCTGTCCTCCTCGGTGCCCATTGGCTCCCACTGGGGGGTGCTGTCCAAGTGCTTGGCCTACAGCAAGGCCGCGTCTGACCCCTTCGTGTACTCCCTACTGCGATATCAGTACCGCAAAAGCTGCAAAGAGATTCTGAACAGGCTCCTCCACAGGCGCTCCCTGCACTCCTCGGGCCTCGTGGGCGACTCCCACAGCCAGAACATCCTGCCGGTCTCTGAGTGAAGGACGCCGCTCTTGCTGGAGACTGAGGAATGAGACAGTTGGTGAGAAGCGGGGAGGGAGGGCTTGGGCTCCTGGGTGGACACCCCCAGCTGCCACCCACCTGTGCGGCCAGCGATTCCGGTTCCCTGGCTCACAGGGGCCCTGAAGCCCGCTTCCTGGTTCCTCAAGGGCAGAGGCTGGACTGTCCCTATTTTGCACCAAAGGATGACCATGGTTGCTCACTCTGGGTTTTTCTTTCGGAGAAGCTCCTTTGGGCTCCTGGACTCACCAGAGACTCCCCAGGAGTGACGCTGAGTCTGGTCTTGATCAAGGACATGCGGTGCTGGTGGCAGGTGGGGAAGCATGGCATCCACCTGCTTCCTAACCACTAGGCATTGGGCTCCATGCTGAAGAATAGTGGTGGTCTCCACGGACATCAGTCATGCTGAAAGTGCGGTTGGCAGTGGCCATTCGGCCTTACGTCCAGGATGGCTGCTCTTCTCCACGTGGAAGTGGCGGCTGCTTTAACCCAAATATTATCCAGCTGGGACGCACTAAACTGTGCTCAGCTGGGACTCTTGGGACCCTGAGCCCAAGGGGAAAATGTTTAACAACTAGCGGCTGCCCATTTGTTGCCGAGCAGTGGTCTTAGAGATGGTTACATTGGATTAAACTCTGGTCCCCCACATCCCCGCAAAAGCTAACGTCTGTGTGTGTAGACAATCTTAGCATGAAAATGGTTCAAATAGGCAGGTAATACATGTGATAATGTTCTTGGAGGTCTGACCTTGAACTCGCCTTCTTCTGATTCACACGTCATAACTATTGGAGCCAAGGAGAGGCAGGAGGAAGGTGGCTGCCTGGTGCCCCCACCCCTGGGTGTGACCTGATTTTGCAGGAGGCTTTTCACCTTGTCTCACACATCTCGTCCGGCACATTCTGTGAGAGCCACCCACAAGAACTGACCTGAGCAGGGTTTTAGCGTTGGTTCTAAGGCACTGGGTTCCAGGATCCCCCAGTGGCTCCACGTCTAGTCTCCGTGAGTCTATCAACAAGAAGTCGAGGCTGTCCCAGGTGATCAAGAAAGTGCCCTGTGCTAGTGAAGGGAGAGTGACATTTTTATTGACAGTGATAACTTCAATACCTATGCCAACCCACTGGCAGCCCCATCTTGATTTATGGAAAACCAAGGTGAGTGGGCTGAGATTTCTGCCCATCCGTCTTTGTTTATTATTTTGGAAGACGTGTGAATGCCAAGAGCAGTTATTTCTTGGTCCTCTGTTCTGATGCCTCTAGGTAAAAAGGGTGGGGAGCCACAGACTCCGAGGGCTCATTCTCTCTTTCCAGCTCTGTATGTCCTAACTTTGGAAGTGCAGGGGGGAGGACACGGTCCAGCAGGGACCAACTGGGGAGAGCCTGACACTTTTTACTGCCAGGGGTCCCCAGTATGGAAAGACAGAGAAGTTTCATGCACATCTCCTTAAAAAGATGTTGTCTGATTTACCGTAGCTTCCCATTTAGAAAACAGATAGCTGAGCCTGGCCTAGTCTTGCCTACTTTCAAGGTTTTCATGGAGACTAGAACAGGGACAGATGTAGCTTCCCAGGCCTTGGCACCTGTCAGTTATAGTTGGAGGTGTGCTCACACCTGCCTCGAGGAGCCCGTGGGGCACGTTCTCCCCCCAGTTCCATGTTCAGGGACATCACGTTGGTAGCTTGAAATCAGCCGTGATGGGAATATTTAGGCCAAGAAAATCAGCAAAGTCTAAAACCAGGACTTTTGCTTCACCGAGAGCTGGTTGTTCAGCACCTAGCCGCACACCACTGCCAAGACATGACGTTGTGTGTTCCTGAAAACTTGCTCCGATTCAGAGCACATTCGTTTGAATCGAGTTTGAATCACAGTAGACATTCATTTTTGTGAACTTTCCTAGTGACAAGCAGCTGTTCACTCCCACCCCGCTTGTCCCAACACCAAAGGTACCGATGAGGTTGAAAACAAGTATGGAGTCAAGAAGATAGCCACAATTGAATCTGACAATCTCCCTTTTCACGCAAATCTTCTCAAAATTGGGCAAAAGAGTAGTGACCTAGTAGATAGGCCACTAGACAGTCAAGTTCAAGCAGCAAAATGTGTTTTCTTCAATGTCGGGGAATGACTCTGTCAAGTCCTCTTTCTGCTTGTTCTATGTCGGCAACCTATTATACTCCCAGATGCAACTAGATCTCTTTTACCTCCTCTTGAGCTAAAAAACAAAGCAAAACAAAACAAAAGATCTGTCACCCACAACACCACGCATTTTAAAAAGATACATGTCATAATTTTTGCCACGCCCATAGACTGCTAAAACAAAACCCACAATAAAACCGGTTGTATTGGCATCATGTAGACAAAAGCCCAGATAAGTCAGCCAAGGGGGTGTTTTCACTATTGTTCAGACAGGCATTAAAAGCCAAGGAGAAGCAGGGAGAAAAACATGACATTAGGGGTCAGCACCAACCAACTCTGCTGTAATTACCCTTAGATGAATGTTGGTATTCATCTATACCCAGTCTATAAAATTGTCCCCTGGCTTCCTTATTCCCAGGTGAATTATCTACCTCATTTGGTAATTTAATTTATCAAACGTAACATGGGTTTCTCAGGTAAAACACTCAGAAACAGCAAGATCAGCGGGCCTGGGAATACTTACTTGACTTCAGTCTTGCCTGAGGCTCGATGTGTAAGGGCCAGACTCCGGTGGACAGCTGGATCAGCTGGGAAAGCGTTTCAGGAAGCTTGGAACTGACCCCTGGCCTGGGGGTTTGGGGGGCGTCCGATTCCTGGCCCCCCACACAGGGCTCTGTTTCTAGCCCTACATGATCAGAAATGTAGATTTAATTTGTTTAATTTAAAATGTAGATTTAAACTGACCCCGGGTGGCTCTTTCAGTCACTTTGCAACTAGTCCATCTTTTTCTTGCACTTCTTCTAGAAGGAGAGGACGTCAGAGCCCTAGGACCCCCCTAAGGGACTGCCAGCTCAGGTGAGGGTCATGGCATCTGGGGTTTGTGTGTCTCATGGTCAGCTGACCTCCCAAAGCTGTGACACTAAAAGCCAGCCTGTTTTTACTTAGAAGGCAGCTGGGTCCTGAGGGAAGTTGACTTGAGCCACCGGATACCAATGGTCCATGCCTTCTGGGATTCAGCTCAGTCTCCTGTCACCCTGAGCAATAAACCTCTCTCCTCGTGTTTCTGAAATTAGTTTTCTTTTCATGGTGCCTTTCTCTCTGAGAGAAGACAGACAGGACAGGCCAAGCCTACGTGGGGGCAGGTAGAAAATGCCTAGGGTGTGGCCTGTGGCCATGCATTTCTAGAATTTAACCCAAATGCAGCATAACCCAGATGGCTTATTGTTTTAATGAGGATATTTTATTAGGTGCCAGAAATTCCTTGCATCGGCTCCTTTCCTTTGGACCGTGAGCACCACAGGGAAGAGCGAAGTCCCGGATATATTTGCGGCTCCCACCGCCTTCCTGGAAGGTCTAAAGCATCTGGAACAGCCTTTGGCTCTTGAACTTCATTATCCACAAGAATCACCAAGGGAGCTTGTTTAAAAATGCAGATTCCTGTACCCCCTCCCTGGAGATTGGTCCAAGGAGGGTTGGGCAGGACCTAGGATTCTGCATTTTCAGACATCCGTGCCCAGGTGACGGCGGCAGGGGACTTCCCAACTCTTCCCCGAGAATGGGGATCTTGGACACCTGGATAAACTCCATGGAAAGCTGGACCTTTCTAAATATATCTGTTTCGTCCTGTATCTTTCCCCAGATCTCCAGATAGTTCAATCTCCAGCCTCATTTAGGGGCTGAGTCATTTTACTCTCAGAGCGACATAGCGCTCACTCCGTGAAATTCTAAAAACCCATCTTCAGAGACTCAGGTGGAAGAGCTGCCCCCCCTCCCCTCCAAAGGTATTTGCAAAGCAGCCTCATTCCATCCCGTGGGGCTCCCGGGTAGTAAGCGCGGGCGTCCGTGGGGTGTCGGCAGAGGATGGGCCGGGACACTTTGTTAGAGAGCAGGAAGCTGGCGCTCAGAGGGTCCCATGGGGACACTTGCTTGGGTCTCGACTGCACCTGCAGCCTGGCTGTGGGAGCCGACGGCATCTGGCCCCCCTGCCGCTGACCACAGCTAGGCCAGCGCTCTTCCCACCCAGCCTCCCTCCCCCGCAGCGGAGCCAGGCCAGGGAGGCCGGGCCAGAAGGAGACAGTGCCGGAGGCCGGCCCCTGGGTGCGGGTCTGTGTTCGGTTCCCCACTTCATCCAGCAAGGCTGGCCCGGCCACGTCCCCCCGGGAGCAGCTCCTTGTCATGACCATGGTCCATAGTCCTAACAGCTCGTGTGCACTGAGTGAAGCCTACAAGCCAGCGCCGGGCTGAGGGTTTTCGGCTCCTGTTTCCAGGATGTAGGTACTATCATCTCCTTTTCAGACCTCTGAGAAGATCTGTAAATCCTGGGGCGGCAGTTAGAGACACGTGAGGGGCAACGCAAAACAGGGCCACAGTCTCCAAAAGGGTAGGCTAGTGCCAGTGGGGAGTCCCCTGCGGCACCCAGCTCGAGGCAGCTGGAGGCACAGCGGGCGTCTTTCCATCAGCAGCAGAGAACACCTGGCTCCCACTTCTGTGCTCACACCCCCACCCACCAGCCAGGCCCCGGGGCCCCTGCCTCGCTCGGCCGCCGCTTGCTTGGAAAGGACTTCTCCGGACTTCTCTTCCTCTAGGGGAGTTCGGGGGGAGAGGGGGAGGCTGAGCAGCCACCTCTGTACCCGGGATTATGGTCCCCAGGCCCTTTTCACCCCCAGGAAATCTATCGGACCAGATGTCTTTGGTGTCTAAGGGCTCGCTGTCAACCTGAATTTTCCTGAAACTCTGGGCCAACAGCCCTCACGACGTCAGAACAACACAGCAGCGTCCTGGCACCAAAGTCAACCTCCTCATGTCCTGAAGCCGGAAGGGTTTCCGTGGAAGACCCTGGTGTTGGCTTAGGACCCCGGGCTGAGCTGGCCAGGAGGAGAGGTTGGGTGGAGGT